CGTCTCTCTCAGCCGATACTCCTACTACACTTTGCGACGAGGTAGCCCTCAGCCCAATTCTGCCTCATAACATCAGAAAACTCAAGTGGTCGATTATTCTAGGTTGAAACAAAACAAGGTTCCCTCAGTAACTTAGCTGTGCTACGACACCATCGGTGGGTCTGTTTATTCAACAAGCCAAGTCTCTTTTCACCCACATTCCGTTCCCTAAATCAAACTAAATCAAATCTAATTTTATTCCGATCTGGACAGCTTAGGCTGGGAGCGTGAGAGAGAAACAGTCAAGCAAATGTTGCTTGGCCAAAAGCACGCTCAATCCAAGAGAGATGGAACATCTTTGAAGTCCAACTTCAAACTGTGCAGGAAAGAAAAAATAACACAGGGTTTGCACTTACTTTTTGATACACGCAATCCAAATCCATCTCTTACTCCTCCTCAGCAATGCAATAAACCCGAATACTGTATCAGAACTTCCTTCTGATCAAATAGGACACTGGTACATTTTGGTCAGTCCAGTTCCCTAGTTAAGTGCAACACCTCAGGAAATGCAAACTTCCAACATTTGCTTAAAACGCTTTGACTTCAACTTGCAGAACAGCCAAATACATAATTTACTCCTTCCCCTGAAGTGAAAGTCATTGCAAAGGAGAGAAAAAAAAACACATACACAATTCTGACGTTATTAGCGGAAAAGAAATATCAGGGTGAATGAAGTCTTTGTGCAATTTTCACATAGCCTTGGAGTAACATTTCCATCATTCATTAATGCACAACAACGGGTTGTCTGTATGCAGGGAAGTGACAAATTTATCTTTGTTCCCGGGTGCTGACACTGGGAGGATTATGTTCTTCAATAAGCGCACCAGCATCTTTCCTCTCTTGCTATTGCTAACAGGGTTCTGCTCAAGCTATTAGCTTGCACGACCTTTTTTTGTTGCTTTGTGGAGAGGCCAGGAATGGCCTTGCAAGATAGACCCCTGCTTTGTCATTTCCCAAACGGATGGGTTCAGTTGGTCAAGGACAAGTGAATGGCGATGAAACCAGCAGGACTTCACGTACACAGATTTCGGGAGGCTGAAATTTGTGTGGGTGAAGGTTTTCCCTTTCTCCTTTTTTCTCTCCCTCCCCCACCCAAAAAAAACACTCGATAGTTAATTCATTACTGATATAAAAAAATACAAACCCAGTAAGGATTCGACTACATAATTATCTCAGTCAGAAGGTATACAGTAATTGTAAAATCTATATGGTATCTCACCTATATGTACATCATTTCCTGCCATCGTGAAACAAAATGATATGTCTGAGGATCTGACTTATACGATGGAGGAAAAGCAAATCAACCAGATATTGTAACGTATCACACCAGAGGCCCTCCAGCAAGTTCACTAATGCACACTACAGCATTTACATCATTGCATAAAGCACAAACAATACAAGCCATCCCAGAATATTGCTCACATAACAATAATCTCTGCGTTATTCACTATTTCTTTTTTTAAAAAATCTTCTTGAAGGAAAAGTCTAAACAAGGCTTGACAGTGGATTTTCCGATATAGCACAAAATTTACAACAGGAATCTGCCTAACCTAATGTCAGTTTTTCAAGTCTTTAACATAAATAATCTTTAACGTATTTAACACAGGACGTCTGTATCAGGAGGATGCCTCACAGCACTTCACAGGATTTCACTGCCAAGTGTAGTGACTGAGTATTTTGTGGGCGAGTGACTGAGCCAAACAGGGAAGGCTTATCACGATCACAGTATAGAGCTGACCTATCAAAGCATGAGGCAGGCTTAATGTGCCTTTCAGTTGCGGTGCACAGGTGTAATGCGGGTAAATAACATTATGCACGGATACTGTGCATGAGCTACGTTAATCTTTTAAATGTAAAAATAATGCTCTCAGGCTGGCAGACCTTTCTGAAATGCTGTTGGCCTAAAAGTGAAGAGACAAGCTTAAAATAGACCAAACGCCTGGAAAACGAGGGAATTGAATTTCCTTTTCCCGAACACATAGTAAGGTCCTTGTGTCCAAACATCAGACCCGGTGACACAACAGGCTTTTCTACTTTAAAGTTGAAATATTATCGCACATCTATCTCACTTTGAACTCACAATGCCACAACCTTGTTGTCGTTTTTTTTCTGTAGGCTCAGTCACTACAGGCCTGAAACCATGAGCTATGTAAATCAAGCTTGCAGTATTTAACTAGGGGGAGCTTCAGAATCCCAGTCAATCCTGCCTTCATCCAACATCCTCAGCCATATCCTTTCCTGAACTCATTGGATACTGGTCAAGAGGAGAAATCTTGGCTGAAGTTTTGCATAGCTTAACAATATAACGGGCAATTTATAAGACACTTCACGGCTCAGATCAACTACAGTATAAGCTTTTGTATAGCTTGCAGCTTGTCTAAGACTTATCTTTGCCAATTAGGGAAGGGAGGCACTGTTGTGCCAATGGGAAAAGTGCCCCGGGTTTAAATGTTTATGATTTCTGGACACAAGCTCACCCCACACATTTCAGGCCTTAAACCATAAACAGCATCGATCATTGATACGACATTGTTATACTTATTAGAAAAGTCAGGAACTAAAATTGAGGCCATGTCAACAGTAGTCTCTTCTTTCGCTCTCCACCTTCCCGCCTTCCGTCCCCCCACCCCACTCTCGCTGTCTTCCCCTCTCCCATTGAAAAGACACATCAAAGGACTTGAAATGAAAGTTGCCGAATTAGTAGGCAAAAAACATTCACTTCTCTGTTGGTCCTCAAACACAAATAGAAACAAACCTATTGTGAGAACGCAATTAAGTGTGCATTGGCACTGAACTCGATCACTGAAGTCCATCATGTTAAGTCACACACCCACCAGCACAGATTGCAATCTGACAGGCCTGATACTAATCACCTCAGTCAATGGAAGAGAACTTGCCCAAGCAAGGTATGAAACACACCATTACTGTTGAAAGTACTGGGTTATTCTACAAGCTCTCATCTCTTTCTGGAACCCCAAGCCCTAACTTAAATGCCCGATGGAACATGCCTTCATAAGACGTGCAATTTAACCACACGCACAAGCAAATGATATATACGTAGGTCCATTTTATAAGTTGTGGTTAAGCCTTGCAATTCAGCATGATTTATTTTTCCTGGGTTTGGGTACACAAACAGATATAACATTTACAGTTCTTTAATATTTAGCACGGTATCAATAATAATAATTATAGTATTATAGTGCAGTATCAAGCCTTAGTTAATAAACTAAAAGCAAAGTAAAAACTAACAGCACATCAGTCCGTATCTTCAATCGCCAATGATTGTGAAACTCGCCCAAAATGGCTTGTGTCTTTTTTTGGTTTAAGTGCTCGTAAATGCACTGTGCAGATCAACACATGGAGCAGCTACGACTAAATGTAATTAAGAATATTCTGCTCCCCCCCCCCAAAAAAAAACCTAATAATAAGGCAAACGCCCCTAGACAAGCAATAGGATTGTTTTTTTTCATTCATTTAAGCATTGCATGCATGACCTTAGGAAGTGACACCAATGTTCTAATCTGTACTCTTTCCTCTTCCTGCTTTTCACTCTCTTTTTTAGGTCAATAAAATCAGCTGATCTGTTACATTTCATTGACGTAGAATCAACCCCCCCCCCCTCCCCTCTCTCCCTCCCTACAAAAGCCAATTTTTGTTTTAAAAATATATACATTAAAAAAAACACACACATTTGAGAAAATGTAAGAATTGGTGTGTGTGAGTGTGTGCGAGTGTCAAAAAATTCATCAGAAAATACCAGGAATTGGGGACTTTTACCAGATCCAGTCTGTCCATCATTTTTTTTTGGGGGGGGGGATGGAGGGGGCCAAATAAAGAAAGAAAGAAAGAACATGGCAATGAATGAATGGATGGATGGATGGATGGATGGATGGATGGAGGGAGGGAGGGAGGGAGGGAGGGAGGGAGGGATGGATGGATGGATGGATGGATGGAGGGAGGGAGGGAGGGATGGATGGAGGAAGAGTAGTCTTATCTAACCCCCAACCCCTTCTATCATTGCCAAGCGCTCATTTACTTGTCCCCTAAAACATAACGTTTTGGACCAAAAATTACGAGGAGGGGAGAGGAGGAGATCAGAGCCCTGTGGGAGAGGAGGATGAGGAGGAGGAGAGGGAATAAAAGTAAAAGTGCTGTGTTTCTCTCTTTCTCTCTCTCTCTCTCTCTCACACACACACAGACACCAATACATCTCCAGCACAAGAAATTGGACAAAGGACCAGTTTGGCCATTGTTTGCCCCCAAAAGAAAGCCTTCGCCACAGACACAGTCACAGCCATGAAATTGACATGATCCCCTCCAGCTGACTGTCCCCCCCCCACCCCCCCCCCCCCCCCACACCCCCCCCACCACACCCCCCCCACCCCACTCTCTCTCCTCCCCACCCATTGCAAATCACTCCCCAGTCCCCTTACTGTGCTGTGGTACAATAATACGATCGGATTGCAACAGCAGGAAAAAAAAAGCGCAGTGGATGTCGAGAAAGGGATGTACCATTTACTTACATATATATATATACATCTACATATATGTTGTTTCATTCATTTCTTTATTTTATTAATTCAGAGATGAGGCTAATAACCCCCTCCCCCCCACCCCCCCCACATCACCCCCCCCCCCCTCCACCCCCCCAAAAAAAAAGCTAATGGGTGTTTGTTTAGTTTTTTGTTGTTGTTTTCTTTTAAAATGTTTTTTTTTTGATGGGGGGGGGGGGGGGTATTATTTATTTATTTATTTATTAATTAAGGTGTTTCTATTTTATTTGCTCGGTTTGCAATAATAATAATAATAATAATAACCATCATCACCATCACCATCGTGCAAGGTTAAATCAATCAAACAACCAATCAATCAATCAATCAATCAATCAATCAATCAATCAGTCAGTCAGTAAGTAAGTAAATAAATACAGTATTATTTTTTGAAACAAAAAGTCATGTTACCTTGGTGAAGAGCTCAGATGCTGCCATTCTCTCCTCCTCTTCTCTTCTTCTCTCCTTCTCTCTCTCCTTCTCTCTCTCTCTCTCTCTGTGTGTGTGCAAATGAGGACTCAATAATCCCAGGACCACTCCTGCAAAGAATGAGCCTGGAATAGAGGAACAGTCAATGAATGATTCGTTGCAAACGCCTTTACGCAGCCACAGCCAAGCGCTGAATCCAATCCAACACAACACACTGCCTCCCTCCCTCCCTCCCTCCTCCCTCTCCCTCTCCTCCCTCTCCCTCTCCTCCTCAAACCAAGGTACCAAACGCCATGTTATACCTGTGTTAACTGGAGAGCCTCTCTAGACTGTGCATTCTGGGTATAGAGAGAGAGAGAAGAGGAGGAAGGGAGGGAGGGAGGGGAGGGGAGGGTCGATGGAGAGCAAAGATGCTTTTCTGGCAAAAAAAAAGGAGACATGCAATAAAATCCACGGTTCGGTCTGCCTCCCATTGGCAGCTCTGGGTCACAGAAGCAAACGTCAAAAAAACACACACACACACACACATATATATACACATCATTCTGAAATGCTGCCCCAAACACCAAGGCAGCGCCATCAGCGGGAGCGAATGTGCAATAGGCTTTTAGTTTCGGCCACCGCAGGAAATAATATATACCGTATTATGATATATCACCGTCATCGTCATCATGATAACCCGTGCATTTTGATGTGGCGCTTTATCGCGTCGTCGAGACCTCTCAAGGACATGTGCTGTAAAAGTGGATTGACTTGTTTTCATTTTGTGGGCGAAACGCAGCAGCCCGTCGTGGATTGAGTGGCCAATTGTTTCTTTTACCCTTTTTATTGGTTAGGGAATATGCTTTTGACGTACCGATAGGGAGCCCAAATTTAACACATAGGCAGCGAAATATTTTTTTTTCTTTCTTTTTTTAAAGAGTTTATTGCCCCAGCAATACATACACAGTATGTGAATAATGTACATTTTTATACACACAGCGCTTTTCAGGTTGGGAGTGTATCTCAAAGCGCTTCACAAAAACTGACTTGGATGCCTAAGGCCGGGGTGGGAGCGGTGACCAAAAGTGCAGTGGACTAGAAAAGTCTTCTGGCGAGGTTTAAAGGTGGGGGCGGGGGGGGGGGGGAGAGCTGGAGAAACTTCGTATCCACGTATGCATCATCACAGAACTCTATGTCGAATAACGTATAGAGATTCATATTAACGTGCGATTTTAGGCAACAAATCAAAAGTTTCATTACCCATTGAGATTTTAAATTCGGTGTGCAGTCGTCTTGCTATTTATCAAAATGTGCAACAGTAGAAAAACAAATGCTCCAAAGGAAAATCAAATTTAAAAATTCTGGATCCACTTTTTCAGGTTGGGATTTAATTGCTGCCCAGGCAAGTCTCTTGATTAACTACACCAAATTGTGAAATCTACGTACGTGTAACAGCTTGTTGGGAGAAACGCCGATGGTACATAATCCAATGTAGATATTTTTAACCTGTCAAGTGAAGTTCAAAATTGAAAGGACTGCATTTTTTATTTTTATTTATTCACTTGCTAAAAAAAAAAACTCCTGCTGTTAACTTGCAATGCCATGCAATGCTGGTTGACTGTACAACATTGGCCCTTTCAAGTAGCCTCATTGCAGGTTGAATATGCATTCAGATGCTAATTGCACAGCTGAAAGTTGTAACTGAGAAAAAGCTTAGTGTGAGATTGTGATTGCAAGTCAGATGAGAGACATAGACTACTCCAATGTTGCACCTGTACTTAACTTCCAGCCCTGACTGTCTTTTTCTCCCCCAAGCTCAACCACTGTGCAGGCTAATAATTTTTTAAAAAAACATTACTGCACTGCACAGACTTTTCCCCACACAGCAGGAAAAATCTGGACGAGAATTTAGTCACAATCGTATCTTTGTAAATAGTTTGGCAATTTCACTCATGTGCAGCTGTTTCTGTTAACTCAGTGTAAATGGGACGATTTCGAAGAATTGGTGCCTTCTCTTACAGGATGAAAATTGTCAAATAAACACGTCATTCGAGATCAGATCTGAAACTAACTGATGGAGTGCAAGATCTAACTGAGAGAAAGACTGTTCGAGAGTGGTAATGGCAAGACTCAAGACTTAAGACTATCCAACCCAAGCTGAGATTTCCGTGCATCCCACCTGTACATGGAAATCCCAGAGATAGATTGTTGGAATGCAATGCACACTCTCTCCCTGGAGGGATAAATCCTGCTTACCCAACAGCCAAGGCTCGGGGACCCCAGAGTGTGTGTTGGGGTAACTGTTGGGAGTCTATAACCAGCTAACCATCGATATTGCTGTCTGGCAAGCTTTCCCACTTCTTGCCCAGCTAGGGCCACCCAACCCGTTAGGGCTTTGGCTTGCAGGGTTATCAGGAGCTGAGTGGGATGACTCATCTGCCTTTCCAGGTCCTGCCGAAGAGCCAGGCCAGCTGTGCTGTCATCAGCAGTGCCCTGGAATACTGCGGACCAGACTGACTCAGGAAACGGACTACCGAGACTGCCAGAGGGCTGGCTTGTTGCCAACATTCTGTTGCCAAACACGACACCTTGGAGCCAGTTCAGCTCCAAGGAGACCCCACTTAACTGATACATTACCACCTTTCTGGAATACCCACCCAGAACTCTTCCATTACATCACTAAGTAGCTCTTAAATGAGTCTAGCATCCTGTCCTCTACCACCCATCCGGCAGTCAACTACACTCTTGTAAAGAAATGCTTCATGATGTCTGTACTGAAAGCCTGAATCGGATCAGTTTATATTTAAGATCAATGGTTACCAGGTTATCAATGGCAGCTCATTGTTAATCAGTCACACATCCCAAATTAATTAAAACATTAAGTTAAGCAATCTAATTCAACTAATGATATATCAATGGAAGTTAGCAGCCTTAGCCTGTAAATATCTGGCTTTGTGGAGGTAAATTACATTCCGATAAACACATGGCAAGAATTAAGAAGAAAATGTGACAGTGCGCATTTTTCTTTCTTCACACCTTCATCTCCCATTACCTTAAAACACAATAAAGGAGCAAAACACACATTGTGCAAAACTATTTTATTTACAAAAATGGCACAAAGTGATTGCACAGTCTATGCTCATGCACACTTCAATCACGACTTTTATACATAACGGCCCTACCCTACCAATCATAAGTAAATACCATTTTCAGAACTGCAATAGGCACAATTATAAAGCATATGAAAGTACTACATCCAGGAGGGCTACAGAGAGGACAAATATTGTCCATTTATTACTACAGTTTAAATAGATTTAAAGCAATTTATTTTGAGAATAATTGAGGAATCAGCATCTAAAGATTTCACACATCCTCTATGCATCTTTTTTTCCATTAACATCAGTGTGGGTTATTTCTTGTAATAAACAGATTAATGCACAATACAATAAAGCAAGGAAAGAACAGAACGGGAAGGCTGCATAATCTAATCCAGTTGAAGAATGTTGACTTGATGCTAGTTTAAGTGAACTGGGAACACAAGTACAGTAAAAAATGTAAAATACTTAAAATGTCATTACACTTATGGGGACTGCTTCTAAAGTTACTATGTACATTTATCTGAAAAGTTATCACTCAAATTTGAAGCCCACTACTACCTACTTTCAACAGACTCATTTCATCAGTGCATGGTTTAAATTTATGAAAACCCCAGGCTAGTCCAGTGTCTTTACATACAGGACTCTCGTGCAGTAACAGCACAGCACTGAAATATTCTGCCAAGCTGTCGGTCATGTTGATGCAGTAGTGCAAGGAAAGAAAGCAAACACACAGGAATTAACAGAGGAAAGAGGAATGACAAGAGTTCTGTGCATTCGACATGAGGTATCAGACAGCCAGCTTGCTAGCAACAAGTGAAGGTTTCCTCTGAGGCAGATCCTGTGGAGTCGGAATGTGCTCCCCGGTCACTTTGTTCTTTTCTGCTCCACTAGTTGGTATCTGCTTGTTCTTGATTTTAGCCTTAGCCATGTTATAATCTCCAGAATCAAAGTACTTTTGCTACAACACAAAAAGGGAAATCAGTAAAGTAATGAACCAATTTAGAATTCAATTTCTGTATCAGGTTAATTTACTGTAACCATTTGCAATCATATGAAAATATTAATCACGTTAAAAGTTTGCCCAGTGAAATATCCTATTTACATTTTAAAGGGTTCAGTTGATCGAGGTATGAAGTGAAAAATTTTAAGAGCTTCAACACTGAGAAAGTAAAGTCAACACACAAAATATATTGAAAATAAAAATAAGCACATGTGTTATGGATGGATAGAACTTGCAAAGGAAACAGTCAATAGACCATGGGTGCATTAATTGACCAGTCAAAGCAACAAGGGTGCTGTCCTAATTACAAAAAACAAATAAGTTTCAGTCTCTGAAGGCCATACTAAAGATTTTGCTTTAGGCAGGCAAATGTAGCTGATGTTGAGTTCTGGTTTTAGTTACACAAAGGACCATCCAGTTTAATGCTGTGCAAAAAAGGAAGATAGATCTTTAGTGTTAGTGGGATGATCTTGTGCATGACAAGATAAGCTGGAGCTTTTCAGTTTCAGAGAAAATCTTAAGAGAAATAAAATACTTAATAGGATAAAATAAACCTGAAATAGTTTCAGATGTGGCAAAGTGGCACTTGGTTTATGTTTGCGAGAAACACCTTTAGATAAAGAAAATAGGAAATATTTCTTTAGTGAGGGTATTCGGCTGGAAGAGGTTAGCATGAAGGTGGGTGTGTCTGGGATTCTAGACTCGTTTTGCTTAGATATTGTCATTGGGAAGACTGTACCGTTAGCATTGCAGAAAAACTAGATCAATTGGTCTGAAAACCCAGAACCTCTTGTCACTTTACCCAAATCAAATCAGATTATTTAATTTGTATAGGTTTGTGTAGTTAAAATAACCATTTTCTATTTCTGAGCAGTATAGCATAAACTGCATAATCATATTCCAATCAGCCACAGTATTTAGAGATCTGCAGACCCCCACTTTAAAACAAAGTCACTTGAATATGAACTTTCAAAGCACTGAGAAAATCAAAATTAACTATATGGTTCAGAATATAAGGCAATGATGTGAAAAATACCAATTAAAAGCTCCACCGCATTAAAGCAAACTACTTTACATCGAGAAATACTCACTCCCTTCTGCAGCCGTTTCCTTAAAAAATCTGTTCCACTCGGCTTCTGTCCCAAATTAGGATACCTAGACTTCAATTTTGCTTCCTCGACTTTTTCAGGACTGATTACTTTGTCGTCCATTTCCTAAAATAAAAACAAAAGCAATGAGAATCGTGAGAATAAGACAACCCCTGACAATTTGGTATTGTACCATCATTGAATTACTCATTGAAAAGGTTCAACGTTCAAAGCACCTTCTTCAAAAATCAAAGAGAGTTAATGCAAAAACGCAGCTACTAGTCAATCACCATGAGGAGCATAAAAAAACATGAAATCATGTACATACCCTCTACACCGAGCTCTATAAACAAGTACAGTGACTAAGCACACTGAAGTGTAGCTATGGTATTCTTCTGCAAATCAATAGGCCTTTATGACCCATATTTCAAAGCAATCATTGTGCAACACAATTTGTATAGCTCACTTTCACTACATAAATGAGAATGTCCCCCCACCAACCCCCCACCCCAAAAAAGGTTAGGAACAATACCAAGAACAAAATTGGAAACTGAATTGCGAATGTCAAGGAGGATCATGTTTTGTACGCCTCCCAACAGCTTATAGTCTGCTGATACGTACATGAAGAATGCCCACTTGGGCGAGGTATCTGAAAGCAGCCAATGCCTTTGAAAATGTACTCCAACATGAGTCAGTGAGTTGAGGAGTGAGAAGAGCGTCCAAAAAAAGCAACAAAATTATACGTTACCCAATCTCCTTTTAAAAAAAAACACGCCCCGACTTAGTGCTTCAGGGAAATGGCAAAAACAAACGTTTCAAAATCAACAATTGCTCTTCGTGCTGCCCCATAAATGGTTTGCACTGAACATTTCATGTTCTTCTGAAGAGGCGCAGACCGAAGTGCACCTGGAGCCAAGGCGCAGGTCCACCACAATTGAATCACAAGGGTTAGGTGTTCACACTGTATGTCAGATAAGACGACTTAAAGGAACACCACGTTTCATTTGTACATTTTTTTTGCTAGATTCCACGAGAGATCAGGAACGAGATGGGTGAACCAAATGCGAATTAAACGCGGATCTTCCATTAACAAGCAGACGTACATTTCTGAAGAAAATTACGGTGTTTCGATCACAAATATTTACTGATCAGAGATTTGAACTGATGCTTTAATCCTTCAACCAAGGTACTCATTTCTTGCACATAATTTGGGAAGAGGGTTAAAAATGAAGACAATTACTGACGATTGTATTTATATGCACAAGATTTACACGTCATCTCCATTCCTGTATCCTGAATATTGCTCTGCAGTCAGCATCGATCATTTAAAAATCCAAACGTTTTAAACAGCATTTATCGAATAATATCTTCTAATTCTAACTATTGATTCTACCGATGCAAACGATGTCATCGCTATTAATTACATTCCTAAAGATTGTCGATGCCAAAGCACCGCAGGATGCAATTCCTCAAATATGGGTGGACGGTGAGCAGAGCAATCCCCGCATTGGGGGTATCAGTTCTCCGGAAAACGTTATCAAATAAAAACCAAACCTTCGCCGGTATTGGGAGATACGCCTCCGGTAAAATGCGAGAAACCCCCCCCCCCCCCCCCCCCCCCAAATAAAAATCCAAACAGCAACACGAGACGACAGACAGTAGGTACCAGTGTTTGCAAAGCAAAACGGATCCCGAACCAATATACAAACGCACTCCCGGACGAGAGATCAGTGGATTACGGAAGAAAATCTTAGGATGAGTCCACACGCAGTGCTGCGCGTTACAGAGTCTCCCCCCTCCCTCCCCCCCCCCCCGATCAGGGAGGAGTCCAGCCCTGCTGCAGGGGGGCGGCTGTACGCAGCAGCAGCAGCACTTCTGCAGTATCTCCCCCCCCCCCCCCGAACACTGGCCCATTGTTCTGTGGGCAACAGACTGGTGGCATCGCCATGAAACCCCCCCCCTCCCCCCCCCCCCCCCACACACACACACACAGAGAGGCGACAGATCCCCCGCTCGACAGAACACGCGCCGCGCGGCAGCAAAAATGCACCGACAGAGCCCCATTCCGGGTCTCCCGGAATCCGATCCTCAAAACGGCGACAACCATTTGCGGGGAACGGCGGTGCAACACAACCCAACCGGGTTATGGGGACGGGGCCGCCGTGTGATTTTTTTTTGCAAATTAAAACGGATAGGGACACACACACACTCTCTCTCTCTCTCCTCTCCTCTCCTGTCTCCCAGTCAAGAATTATCCAGTCCCGACTCTTACTCGGCGGGAAACCCGACACCCGCGCGTTTCCCCCAACACGACACGACACAACCCAACGCCTGGGGCCTGCGCCCTTTTGGCCGATATAACTCGCCCCCTCCTCTCCCTCTCTCTGGGGTGGGTGGGTGGTGGGGGGGTTATTACCTGCTGCTCCTCAGCCGAGGGCTGCTCGTCGGGCCTCTGCACCTCTTCCAATTTCACCGACATGGTCGCGAACCGAGCGAGCGAGGAGAGAAAAAAAAAGGGAGACGAGAGTGGGGGTGTGGGGGGACCGGGAGAGGAGGAGGAGGAGAGGGGGTGTTGGGGGGGGGGAGGGGACGGACAAAAGCAAACTCAGGCCTTTAGTTGTCCTCGCGAGCTGACTGGGCGCCTCTGCCTCGGGCCTTCGGGGGTGGTGTTATGTGCGTGTGTTGAGTGAGTGGGGGTGGGGGTGGGGGGGGAGGAGAGGGGGCTCTCCTACTCCTGCGTCCCTGGTTCTAGCGAGGTGGGTCAGGCCGTCCTTTGGCGGCGGTTCCTTTTCCTTTCTCACCCCCCCCTTCTCCTAAATGTGGTGTGTGTGTGTCTGTCTGTCTCTCTCTCTCTCTCTCTTCTCCCTCCTCCCGCCCACCAAGATGGCTCCGCGCTGAACACGTCACCCGCTTCCAGGGGAGGGGGGGAAAAAAATACCCGGACCTTTGGCTCCTCACACACGCGGGGGATGTCGCCCCGGGACTGCCCCCCGAACCGACCCGACCCGACTCATCGTCGTCGTCATTTTGTCCTGAGGAAGAGGGTTAGAGACGGGGGGGGGGGGAAGGGAGAGAGAGAGGCAGAGGGAGTGTGGAAGGGAGTGGGGGGCGACCGTTAAACGGTCAAAGTTTTCAAATTTTGATTTTTTTTCGGGGGGGGGGGACGACGACGACCGGCGACGACCGCTGCGGCGGTGACGTCACGCCCCCGCGGCGGCGGTGACGACACGCGGCGCCGACGTCACGCCCCCGCGGCGGCCGGGCGTGGCATTCTGGGAGTTGTAGTTCACCGGCCCTCCCCCCACACACACACATCCACACGTCCATCCCACCCCATCATCATCAACACATACATTAACTGTCGTCGGGACAACTCAAGACAGGAGACCGCACTATTTTGACCGCCTGTCGCTGCGTCATCGTTAGAACCGTCCAGGGCCGGAAGGAGGCCGTTCGGGCCGTGGCGTCCCAAACTGGTCCCTAACCGCCCCCCCCACCCCCCCCCCGCGCGCTCTCTCCCCCCATCAGAGCCCCTGCAAACTCGTCCACCCCGAGATCACTGTCCCGAACGTTGTTATCGAATCGGCTTCCGCCGCCCTTTCGGCCAATTGGGAATTGATATAAAGCCCTCGTGAATCTTCTAAGGGGCAAATCCTTAGAAATACGAAATACAGTCACTACACTTTACAGTATATGCTGCGAAACCCTTTTGAGACGTCGCGATGATGTGAGAAGGTGCTGTATCAAATGCAAGGATTATTATTCCAATCCTGACTGGAGCAGTTTTACAAATACAATGCCATATAAGTGTACATTCATATTGCGTCTTTCAAATAGTGACTGTATATTTTGTGGTCGAAACGAGATAAGATGGGGCTCCTCGGGCTTGAAAAATAGATATCCCCGGCCCGGACCTGAATACAAAAGGAAAGATACTTGATGGGATGGAATAAACCCACAACAATATCCTCAAATACGCTGAGGAAGCAGGGACAGAGTACTAGGAAGAGGGAGAAGAATGATAGATTGATGATTGTAACAGGGTGACATGCATATTAGTGAAAAAAATATTCATGTTCCTTTACACGGATCAACTGATAAGACAAGACAAAGGTTTACATATATTTTGTATATTTGTGTATTATTCATGTCAAAAATACAGAGTATGATTTTACATAGAGAACTTTATGCTACATTATAACACTAAAACAGGACAAATTTACCTGTGCAATAAGTGAAACATTAATTTAAATATTAAATAAAAAAACAAATAAAATAAGTTTAAAACACTAAACTACTTCTGTTTTGTTTTTACTATTGCAACACATCCAATAAAGTGGTTTGTGACTTCCGTCGTAACAGTACAGATAATAATAGGACATCATGGTTCTCATTCCAGTCTACTGTTTTGCTTGAAGTACAAGGGAGTTTATTTAAAACACTTAAAAGACAAAGCTGGTCCACCGTCTATTAGGTGCTGGGGTTCTAAAAGACTAGTACCAATCATTTCTCACAATTAATGTATTGTGCATTACTTTATTCCCGTTAATTAGCCGAGCCCTCATGTGTCATTCTCCAGAGGGGAAAAAAAATAAAAACAAAAATCAAAAAAGTCCTTAAGAATACAAAGGGTTAACATCGTGGTGAGAAATGAGGGTTTGTTGGAACTTCTGTGTAAGATTTTAACTCGTACGCGGCACCACTGTCAACTTCCATAGACTTTCGAGAAAAAAGGAGTCTGACATCTCTGTGGAGGTAGATCTTTCCAGATTTTGAGCTCTGGAACCTAGAAAATATAACAGTCCCATTATTTATAATAATAATAATCCTTGCATTTGATATAGCGCCTGATCATGTGGTTGAGATGCCTCAAAGTGCTTAACACAATATATTCTATATATAAATTATATATATGCCACCTCCCCCACCTCCAGCTCGGAGTCAGGCTCCGCCAATGTTGAGCGCTCCGAGACACTGCCCTGCGTGGAGGGAGGTATATAAGTGCAAGTTGTTGTTGTATTACAAATGGACTGTGTATTTTGTGGATACAATTTCCTTTTCTTTTCAACCACATCACAAAGCTGCAATCTCCCTCAGGCACTGGCACTGGCACTTGTGATGTCAATGGGTGGAACATCATGACGTGACAAAGGGCATTTGTGTCCACTGATGCTCGTCAAACCATTCAACACCCACCTACATTTACAGAGTGCCTTCCACGTCAAAGACCACCTCAAAGAGCCTGAGAGAACGGGCGCCAACCGTTTTAACAAGGGGTACGACAGAGGCAACAGTTGGGGCACAGATAATGCCTTTTGGAATAATCAGGGGTTTAAAAGTTGCTAGTTTAATTAGTGCTGATGCTATGTTCAGGATAACGTTCACGATACGAAAAATTCTTATTGTAAATGAAATATCACTTTCACCACAGAGCATCCAGCCGGCTTCCTGCGCCAGAACATACTGTATTCCTGGTAACCTCAGGTTCAAAGGAGTCTTAAACTCGTGCCACAGTGAAGCACTTAATAATGGGTTACCCTGTGTATAGCATAATGCATCATGCACATCAATCTTGGTTGCAATCAGGTAGCTTGAGCTGTTGTTATTTCAGTCGCCGTTTCCAGACAGGATCCGATCTGGCTTAGCGGAGTGCTAATGACATATTTACACAATTCCATTTGGAGTCGTACAGTTTACTTAAAAGTCCTTCCATTTCCACTCTGGGCCAGATGAATATTGTTTTTCCTGTGCCATGTTACGGTTTAAGGGCAAACACAGCATCAGAATAACAAGGTAGAGGTTACAACCAAGTTTTGAGTGCCCCTTCTTTTGCCATAGGACTTTACTGCTCCATATTCAATAATACAATTAGAAAATACAAAGGTTTACAAAATATACTTAGGGCTATTACAACACAACTAATGGAAATTTTCTCCAGAATGAGAATATACTTGTTCATATCAACAATTTTTTTTCTTTTCTTTAAATCCTATTACTGGCCGCGATTAATTAACGTAGATGTATTTATTCTGTGTTTGTGGTTACCTCAAATGTATGAGGTAGCGAAGTATCCTTTCTTCAGTCTGGATGACGTTTTCTTTATTGGCGTGTCCAACAGGTTCACGTTTCACAGGAACAGAAAAAGTCCGCTGTCGTAGGAATGTCTGGTAATTGGCTGGCATGTCTCTCAAGTCATAGATCACAACAAACATCTTAACCACTGTCTTGTTTGGGTTGAATAAGGTCTGGAAAATGATTTACATTTATTTATCAGCAATAAACCAGATAAGAGTGGGTTACTTAATAGCTCTAGCGACTGATAAAAGAACAAGTCGGCCCAATCCTTGATCCGTGCTATTTCAGTGTTGTACTACACGGATTAATGATTCACTGACGTGCAAAAGCAACCAGTGTCACTGTATAATGTTGAGGAGATTTCACTAGTTATCTTTTAATGTATTCCGAGTCTACGGAGGGGAGAATTCAGCCAAAGTTCCTAATCCTGAACACTATATAGTTACGTATGATAAATTGCGTAAGCAGGTCAGTGAATGGCTAATCAGCAACACTGAAATAGCACTCAGAATCCAACCCATCTCATGACATGCACCATCATTTTCTAGAATTAGGTAAAGCAGAGTGCATCCCTCCAGGAAGATTGTGCACATCATTCAGGTGAGGAAATGATGACATCTTTTCCTCAATGAATGATGAGGAAGATCTCATCATTTAGATTGGATGCGTTCAGATAAGACATTAAACCGAGGTCCCATCTGCTTGTTCATGTGGATGTTAAGAGATCTCATTGCGCTATTTGAAAACAGAAGGAAGTCTCTCTCCCAGTGTCCTGGCCAAGAATACCCCCAGATAAAATTGGCCATTCACTTAATGGCTGTTTGTGAGACACTGCTGTGCACAAATTGGCTGCATGTTCGCCCACAAAATTCACAGTCACTCAACTTCACAGTATATTCCGTGAAGTGCTTTCAGATATCCTCCTGATGTGAAAGCTGTTATACCAAAAGTTAAAGATCATTATTTTCTGAATGCAAGCACCTTACGATTTAGAATAAAGTCTACACTTACCACTTGTATTGTTCCTGATGGAGGTACTCGATAGCCTCTTTTCCCCAAGGATTCCAAGTTAATCAAACCCTACAAAGAAACAATTCTAAATTCAGAGCAAGTCATTTTGAATTGTAGGTTACTGCTATTAATAATAACACCTGCATTTGACATAGCGCCTTAACACGTCATTGAGACGTCTCAAAGCGCATCACAGAATATATTGTAAAGTGGATTGACTGTGTATTTTGTGGGCGCAACTCGGCAGGCAATTGCTCACAGCAGCGTCTCACAAACAGTCGTGGATTGAGCCACTCCCAATTTTTTTTCAATAATTCTTTTTAAAACCCTTTTATTGGTTAGGAAGTGTACTTTTAAAGTACCAATACGGAGCCCAAATTTTAACAAATAAGCAGATAAATGATTTACCAGTAGTTGTCTCAAGAGATATGTGTGTCCTAACCAATTACTGCTACAGCATGATCTTGATCACAGGTCTTTTAACTACTGGAATGTGTAAAAACACATACCATGTAGGGTGATGGCGCATTATCATCAGATACACTGTAGAATGACACTTCGACTGGGAGAGTCAGGTGGCTGGGACAGAATGTGCCACTCGCTCCCACTTCAGCAGTGAAACCATCGATGCTTCCCAAAGGTTCCAAGCGGAAATTCAGGACGGATTCCTGAGAACATTTAAACACAGCAAGGTTAGTCACGCTCGGCTGGAATTGCGCACTCTTTCCGTCAGCCGTCAAAATACGGTCCCTTTACACACAACCATCCAGCAAATTGTCGGCCGAAAACGCGATGTATTTTTGCTGATCAATAGGACCGGGAAGAGACCATTCAGCCTGTTCCGTCGTTGTACTACATCATGACAGCTCTTTTAATATCGTTTCCCTCTCGTTTCGCCACATATCTTACTTCATTTAGACTGTATTCACAACTCCCCAGCAATTACGCATTGCTAGTTAGATCAGTACTGTATTTAACACAACTCAGTTAGAAAGATTCAGATCCACAATCTGGGGCTTTAATTTAAAAAGTATATTCCTTCAACTTGATATGCTGTGGACCGATTAATGGCTACGAAAAGTAGGCTGCAACACAAGAGAGTTCATAAATTATTAGCCTTAAAAAAAACTTCCATTTAAATGTATTCTCCCAAGACTGCCTGAAAAAAAACGTGTATGCGTTTATTAATTATATATTATTGGATTTGTAAACTCACTGAGGCCAGATAGTTCAAAATATTGCAAATCAAACAGCAACAAGTCGAAATATAGTTAGTTTTCCAACTGTAGATTTTATATACACACAGACATATGCACAATAGGTTGCAATATGCACAGTATATTAATCCCCCTAAAAAGCAGCTTCAGTTTTTCAGGCTTGCAAATTTAAATGGCCACTCCAGTAAAAAATCCATGACATATAGTCATTTTCTTTTTAAAAATCAATTTCACCACATTAGGCATACACTTGTACTTTACACATGAGAAAAGTAATTTGATTTTCTAATAAAAGTATTGGGTGGGGGTGGGGGGAAGAGAGAGAATGCTAGAAAATGTGTTACCAGTGCTCAAAAGCACAGTATCGATGCATAAAAATGTAAACCTATTTTGAACAGCTAAACATTCTGTATAATATCCATTCAATGTAACTTACTACATACAGCATTACAATGTTTGCTAATTCTAGTTTCCTAAATGGGAACATTTTAAAGCAAAAGCCTCAGAAGCTAAGTTGGACATTTGCTTTGCGATCCAAAGACTGAATGATCTCTCGAAGCTTTGAACTCTTTCCCTCAGTCCCTCCGCCTTGCCCCCCCTCCTTCCCCTCTTTTAGATCACGACTAAAGATCTTCCTCTTCGACCGGGTTTACGGTCACCTCCTCCCTACCCCCGGCTTGGCGTGGAGCTCTGCCACTGTGAAGCGCTCTACCCTGCGTGGTATAAATGCAAGTTGTTGTTGCAGATCTACTTGCAATTTTTCTTTTAAAACTTTTTTCCCCCTGAAAGATGGACTTTCTTCCCTTTGATACTTACATCCATATGGCAGAACAGGTTAACACTGAAAGGTGGAGCAGGCGAGCTATTTCCAGTTGCTTATGCACTTGCATGGCAGATCCTTTCAAAAACTGAGCTCTTGACAATCTGCTAATTGGAATAGCCTGTCTTATTTATCAGGAACCGAAAGAGGATAAAGCAAACCTAATCACTTACTGGAACACTGACCAATCAGGTTCTATAGAGGTTTGCTAAGATGTTTTCATTCCTTTAATTGTTGTCCTGGTATTTTGAGATCTACGGCAATGGGGTGTTATAAGCAATCATCTTACACAATTAGGCCCTAAATTATATTCTAATGGAGAATCCATCTTGCCTTGTGAAAGTAAAATGTCAATTGTTCAAGTGATGAAGGAAACGGGAGGGTGAGGTTAACACTTCTACATACAGCGAAGTGTGAGTTTAGTTCAATTTAAAGTAAAAATCTGGAACTTTAGTCACAATTCCAATCCACCACCATGGAAATCTTCCCCAAAGCCACAACCATTCTAGCGGAAGCACAACTTAGATCGAACAAGTATAAGATCTATCAGTAACAGCTGCTGTGTGTGTGTGTTTTTTTTACTAACTACAAAAAATAGGACATAAAATATCTGGCGAAACACGTTGAATGGTGTTGAAATAAACAATGACTCTGTAGCAAGGATAGTATTCAATGTTACTAAAATATACAAATGAAGTGGCCTTAAATTCTTTTTTTTAAAAAGACATGCCTGAAATGAATTACTGATTCGTACCTCAAAGTTTCCAAGAAGACTGAGACTAGTTGCTGGTGGGGCACTGATACTCAGGAGCTGTTTCCTTTGATCAGCATCATTCTCTGGTTTTAGATACGCTCTCGGACTATAGAGAGAAATAAAGAGATTGGCACAAGTGTCTTAGATTTTCCACACGAAAAACAACAGGCCGTTAAATGAGGGATAACATTTCCAAAGCAAATATTTATTAAAACAATTTGCAAAACTTAGCCGATGACACATAATGGTACGGTTCATCAATGAATAAGTATAATGAGTATAAACCGCAATGAGTATAATTTACAATATTCAAAATTGTACGTTGTTGCATTAATTCCAACATTATTAGGTTAAAAAAACATAGTGAATTGAAAACAAGCTAACTAAATAGCTGTAGCAATCAGACTTAAAAGAGTAAGACTGTAAATATATATACACAAATAAATAATCATTTTGAAATTAACAGTGTTCTTAAAACTTCCTTCCAAATTCTCTGAACAGGCAAATTAATTTGCTTTAACCAATTGCAGACTTAAGAAGGGATAGATACCTGGTGCTAACAAAGTCTTGCTTCAATCTAGGATCATGCACTTACGAGCTGAATTATAGAATTTGCAGTGGCATCAATATTGCGCCCGGTTCAGATTGTATAACTAGACTAAAGTGGTTGAATTGCTTTTCTGATGCCTCGTAATAATTCAATATCCTTTATTACTTAGTTTAAATGCTCCATCAAATAAGTTCCCCACTTGCATACTAAAAGTTATTTCACGTTTTTTAAAAAAAGTGACAGAAAATAAAATTGAAATACCTTCTAAAAGCTACTCCTTTTAGTCTTTGCAATGAAGCATCCAGGTCAAAATAACCAGATTGTTTTTTTCTAGGTGGAACCTGAGTGTAACAACAAAAACAACAAAAATGTTATTTACTTCATTTGCACCAAATTATTCACACTGATCAGAAGTAAATTCACTCTCTCATTGTAACAGCCAGAATTAAAGCACAGATCATACACACCTCAAATGACTGGTAGATATTTATATAATAAATGTATTTATTATATAATACATTTATTTATGCAATAAATATTTATGTAATACATAATTTATATAATAAATAATAAATTGGTCATTTCAATCCATGACTTTTTTTGTGGGACACTTCTGTGCTGTCGCATTTCGCCCACAAATATACAGTCAATTCATTTTACAGTCTATTCTGTGAAGCGCTTTGAGGTGTCGAGAAGACGTGAAAAGCGCTATATCAAATCCAAAGGATTATTATTATTATAGACAACACTGACTAGAAATCCGAATGTCTAAAAACAAAGTCTGCTCCCAAACCCACAGATATGATGATCAATCATACTTAATGATCTATGGATCTTGTTTTGGGAGCTACGAGGGTGGAAATATTGCTGTTCATCCATTTAAATCCACTGTTCTGAGCGGGGGAGATATTTTTTAAAATAATAATCCTTGGATTTGAGATAGCGCCTTATCACGTCTTCGAGACGTCTCAACGCCCTTCACAGAATATATTGGAGTGGATTGACTGTATATTTTGTGGGAGAAACGAGGTAGCCAATTGTGCACAGAAGTGTTCAGAAAAAAGTCGTGGATTGAGTGATCAAATTGGGGAGGGGGGCGGTCTAGTAGAAAAATAAATGTTCCTTTGCAGCTGAAATGATTGATGCAGTTGGTTTCTGCCACCAGAGGTCACACGTACATCGACACAACATGCTAATGGGCTCTGCTGTATCGAAAGGAATTAATCTACTGTAACGTCAGCTCCAGATGAAATCATTGCAGTCAGGAACCTGGAAACGGAGCCATCCTCAAGTCCTCATGAGCAGCAGTACTATAAACACTGGCAAGCATTGCATCTAGGCAAAAGGTTGTTTTTCTCTCTGACATTTAGAGTGAAGTCAGTCAACTTTAACGAGCAAAACAAAGGAAGCAGTAAGAGGATACGTTTTATAGGCCAACAAAGTGGACGCAAGTATGAGTAACATCCAGCTTTTGGTGCTTGGATGAACAACAATGCATGCCCCTATGACTCACAAATGAGCAACTTTATAACGGTCTGCAAAAATTATGATAAATATACTTCAAAAAGATTTTCCACAAGGGCATTAGTTATTTAATGTCAACATCCAGTTCCCCCAACTCCCTTTTAATAAACTCGAAATGCAGAAAATTCTAGCTCTGTGAAGAGAAATGCAATGTAATTTAGTAGGGAGAATATCTGAGAAATATCTGATCAGGTTACTATACAGCACTGGACTCAAAAGCCTTTACATCTTTCATTACAGTTTTCTACCTTAAGTGTAGAACTGTGTTATACACATTTCACAAGGCTCAAAAGATTCCAATCGATTGAAATTATGTGAATAAAAGACTTGTTCAACAAATATTTTGGTAATATTAAATATTTATTAAATATTAAATATTTTGTTTAACAACCGAGAAAATATTTGTAATAAATGGGAGATTATACATTTTATGTTGAGTTTTCAAGGCGCAAAACTGATATTCAAACCTGTACAAATTAGGAATTGAAGGGAGTTACATAGGAAATCTGGGACAAGGATAACCTCGTCCTTATGTGGTTGCTTTGAACCGTTGTAAAATAATCATTTCCATGTGATTAACTTTAATGACAGAAGATTTTAAAAGCAGGCTTCGAGGTAATTATGTTTAAGAACCCTGGACCTTCTTTACAATGCCTGAAATAAAAAAAATCCTCACAATACACACGTCTAAATGTAGAATGCCTGGTTAATCTTTAAATTCTTAATGCTACTTACAGGGCTTGAAAGTAAGGGTAATCCAGTGCATGGGTGAAAAACTTTGGTGGAAATCCCATCTAATGATCGTCGAATTTGCTTCTTCCAAACATTACCACAAGGCTTCAGAGGAGATTTTGATACAATTTTCTGGAAGAATAAAGATGTACTATTTCTCTCGAGCTTTCTTTAATTTAAGAAATCAATACAAAGTAAGAGGACAGCATTTTGTCTAATTAATCAGGACAAGATTATTTATATATACACGTATATATATATATATATGTATAGAAATGACTTGAAAAATGCATAATATGCAAAAAGCTGATCAAAGTACTCTGTCATAATCTTGAGGTTTTCATTAGTCGAGTACTTCTTTATTAGATTGTTCTGGAGCTAGAAAACAACAGGACCAAACTAAGCTGATTTGATTCAAAGCGGCGGACTCGGTAATTTGGTTACTGAGCCAAGCGGAATCGGATCGCACCAGTCGATGGAGGTGCTAATCAGCTTGGGGCTCATTGGCAGGACTTGGTGAAGCAGGACAGTCACTGCGGAGTAAGAAATCGGGTAGTGATTCAGACTCAAACTTTGAAGACAGTAGAAGTAAATCGTGAACGGATTTGTGGCAATCGTCAGAAGGAATACGGTCTCGACGACTGATAAACAGCGTCCCATTTCAGATAGGACCGAAAACGTTGCGAGATTTAGTCAGAAGATGAAATACAATGGACAGTCTGTGCTGGTTTCACCCAGAGCAACTGGATTCATATTTAACCACTGTATCAGAAACATACATTTTGTTTTCGTCTTTAAGCAACGCTGCCCAGATAGTGTGCCATTCAATACACATCTGAGGACCTTTCTCCCTTCAGAAATCAGAGTAAAATTATAGCCAGCCAAAGGCCACGCACAGACATGGCATTGTTTTTTTTTTTTGGGGAAAAAAAAAGCTCTGTTGATTCTCCAAAGCTTGTGACTGAATGCTGCGGGGAAGGGGGTAGGGAAGAGAGCAAACCCACAAAACTGAACAGCGCTACGTGGAATTAGTTTCGTCCTTGATGGGGTAGTAGAAGGTCATGTGGTACCGCATGAGAATAGCTAAAACCAACAAGTGTCTAGTTTTTTTTAAGTGAATATGCTGGATGTACACTACGCAGTGAATTTCACAGACAAATTCACACCATTTTACTGAGGCGTCATCTGTGTTTTTTAACGAAACCTCCCAATTAAGGCATCTTCAGCTGCTCCTTGCCGCAGTATAAATCATCTTCCAAATCTTTTTTTCTTGACTCGCCCTGTTCTACGTCACAGACATCAAACAACCCAGCCACCCAGCGTACGAATGATCTTATTCATCCCACCTTGCAAATGGTTAGATTTACATCTCTTTCAAAGCTTTGCCACCATTCTGACTCAGGCATCACGACTACTAGCCCAAGCAGGATAATGGGAGTCAAGTCATGCAGTTTGACAACAAAGTTGATTTGTTCTTGGATTTCACGCAAGAAACAAATTAGCCTGCAGGATAATATTGTTCAGCCGGCGTCTCGTTTCAGGAGATGTGCTGCAACAGGGTTTTGGGAATATTGGCCAAACCACATGGTGGACCTCAATTCTCAGAGGACGAGTGAGGCAGGCGAACACATGTGTATTTTCATGCAAGCAGAAAGTATTCTGTAAACTTTGTCGGTTAGGTCTTTCTTTCTACTTTATGGATTATGAGAAGTGGGAGCAACTGGGAATGAAATCCACAACAACATTTGAACACACACAGTGCTTGGTTAGAGGCCAAAAGCATAGGACTTATATCAAGACTCTTATCAGTCTCATTACACCTAGCAAAACTGCCACATGTAAATCAGTGGCAAACTGTCAGCTCATTGTCAGATGGAGTGACTGCCCCTAAGGTTAACAGCAACCATCTTGTCGAGTTCCACGGTATTTAATCTAGCCAGCTTTTCCTCAAACGCATGAGCCCTTTTTTTAGTGCTCCGGGACGCTATCCCGCGTGAAAGGGGTCAAATAAATGCAAGTTATTGTTGTTGTGATTGTTTGAAATATCATAAGAAAAGGTGATGGCCAGATCCAAATGCAACCTGGGGAGGTGGACATCTATGTGGCAACTCACAGCAGAGATGAGTGTACACTTTGGACTATTCAGTCAAACCTTTTCAAGCAACGTTTTCACCGACACTCAACAACCACCCCGTTAACCAGCCTGGAACAGTCTGGGTGATAATAATAATCTACATTATTTCTTGATACGATAGCAAATTAAATGCTTTAATTTTTGACTAATAAAATCACACTATCAAAAAAAAACCCTTACATTTTGAATCTGGGATTCTCCGCGCTTTTCCTTACAGTCTCCGTTGAGTTTTCTTGGCACAGTTGAACTGCACGTGCTTTGTGTCGAGCTACGAGTCTGGGTCTCCAGGTCGGCTCTATCTTGGTCGGTTTTGGATGTGACAGTTTCGTTAACGATCGGCCTCAACGTGCCGATGTACAGACTGCTGGAAACGTCCAATTTATTGCGTTCGCTTTTCGATCGAGAAAGGCTGAGCTCTGGGCAGCTCTGGGGATCCGAATGCTGGGTGTTCAAGCATTCTGTATACGCTGGTTTATTTTTTGCATTGTTGAAGTCATTGTCTGTCCAATTGACCGGGTTCGTGTTATTGAGGTGAAAAGAGTCTGATTGTCCCAAATCGCATGCACTTGCCTTATCAAGCTGCGAGACGTCGCGGTGGGTATGGAGCAAACGCACATGTTGGGAGTCTGAATCAGCAACTGCATTGCTAGACTTTCGGTCCCTACAGCTCTTGGTGCAAGTTCTGTCAATTAAATGTTCTAATATATCTGTACAGTTCACAGTGTCCTTACGAAGGGTAACAGTACACGATGACTTGACTTTATTTTGTTCGGCTGCTACAGCTTTCCCGGATTCTTTCGGGCATTTGCGGTTAACGAGGGAGGAGTAATGAGTTGGTGATAATTCCAATACATCAGGTTTACCTACAGTTCTTTCAGTGAGATGCTCGGTTTCGGCTGTGTCGTTGGTATCAGTAAAAGTGTCTGCTAGGAACAGCTTTCTTCGCGCTTGTGGCTTTCGGCAAGTGGTTTTTTCATTGCCAGCTTTTGCCTTTCTACTTACGGTGACTGGGGTATGGGTGGAAGAGGTCCTGCTCTTCTCCTCAAGTCTATTGTCCAGTAAATTGCTTTCAGTGCAGGTAGCAGAGCTGCAAAGGGCCTCATTTTTCAGGCTTTCTTCTTCGTATGACCCCGGAAATAGTTTTCGGCTCGTTGAACTTGGCTCTTGAACAGTACTAAAATTGCTTCCAGCAATGAGTGGAGGGTTTGGATCACAATAATTCAATTGTTGGGCAATTCGAGCAATCACTTCCTCCCTTTCCTGAAGCAAGCACCCGATCAAAGGATTAGTCTCGCCTGAAAGAACATGAGAGGATGAGCTGCTCGTTTCATTGGAATCAGTCGCTGAAAAGGACTTTAAGGTCTTAACTGCGTGTGTTTCATAAGGCTGCACTTTCATTGCATCAGCAGCATTTGCCCAATTACAGCATGGGGTCTTAGATTGTGAATTCCTGACTTCAGACACTTTATCAGCACTGTTTAATGGAAGGAATAATCTTGCAGCTTTGCTTGGTCCCGTGATCTCAGAAGGACATTTTCGTGCATTGACCGTACTCGATGGCAGCAGCGCTTGGTTTTGGACACCCGTAAATGTTTGCTTCGTGTACTTCTGTTGTGCTCCCGGTGTACTGCAGCGATCGCGTTCCTTAGCAATCGGGGGTTGAAATGTGTCCTTCTCTTGACTGGGGATATTTTTCCCATAGAAGCTAAGGGTAGTGTGAATGCTACAAGCCAACAGTGGGTAACTGGGCTGCCTTGGCAGAGAAAGCACAGTCACTCGCAGGGCCAGACTGTGGGTTATGTTGGGTACTGGGAAGACGTGTTCGACTGGAGCCTGGGTAAAATTTAGCAACATGTCTTCATCTGCTGCACTTATCCTAAAGACACAAAACATAGTACAAAAATTACATTTGTATAAGCAGCTTTCCTGTCGGGAGGACGTCCCGAGGCGCTGGATGATGCAGCGGCAGATTTTTTTAAATTTCAAAATAACACCTTTCTAATGGTTCAGTGAGTACATGAACTCCGCAAAGACAATCAACCACTGAGACAAGAAAGTTCTGGGGTTCTACGGTGGCCGATCGGAGCTCGGGTGAAGAGCATAAGGCATCTCAATCAGGCCTCGGTATTCCTGAGTTGGGAATGATCAGGTTCTCCCCAATTTTGATCTTTATACAGTGACCTCCGTACCCCTCTCATTGCCCCATGTGTACGAATGCCATGGAGGACAGTAGCAGTTTGATATTTGGCTATGATATTTCTCACAGCTAAACAGCACGTCCTCACATTCGACAGTCACTTGGCTTAGCTACTGGCAGGGTCCTGGTACCTATAAGCCAACATAGGACGTAATAATTGCTAGACGAAAGAAGACCAAGGTCTATCCACTTTGCCTGCCACCGTCCTGTCAGTCACATTTCCATGTCGCGTCCCACTCTATATACTGTATCCCAAGATATTATTTCCTGAAATAAATCTATCTAATTTACTTTTGAAAGAATCAACACTTTCTGCTTCCAGCGTCTCCACCTTCAGAAGATGAGGGGAAAAAGACGTTAGGATAATTTTCCTGGACCAAATTAAACATAAATTACAATGACAGTACAGTTTAAAAAAAAGTTTCCTTTTTGGATTGAGATTAAATGTGCTGACACCACAAAACCTTTTCTCCCAGGACAGTGAAATGATTCCAAGAAACAGAGAAATTAATGAATTAACTGATGGGACCTTTCCAAAACAACAACCACACATACATAACTCACCGGTACAGAATATTGCGTGGGACAGCACCTTGGGATGCGCTCAGCCAAGCGCTCAGTTGTGAAAAGAAGACGTATGAGCGGACAGCCTGCAGGAGGGATTTCTCTTCGATGAAACGATCTCCAGTTCTAAGGATTGCAAGAGGAGCAGCAGTGTTACAGCGAGGAGCATTTACAACCAGGCGACTTCAACAGGACCCAACACTGCAGACTGGATCACGTCGCCAACAGCGAACTTAACTGCCAATTTCAACAGGACCTGTTCGGATACTTGGAAATCAAGCACGTCCTAACAATTTTTTGAGTGAGTTCTAATGTGAGGCATCCACCCCACCCCCCACCACCACTTCACTTCCTCAGCCATCCAAGATACGTCTGACCTGCACGACTCATTCACCTCCATGTGAACAGGCACCTTAGAAAGCCCGTAAGGGACCTGGGAGCAAGACAATATGCTGTCAAGATAAGTCAGGACAAAGAGGGAAGAATTCACACGTATTCTCCCAATCACCAGACAAAAGAAAAAACGTACAGGGGCCAAATCAAACTCATCCCCTGTAGACCCAGCTCCCTAACCAACGTCTTCGGTTGTCAAATCTCCTCGATAGACGAGTGCTGGGGAGGGAGAGTGTGGCCACACGGGAACACTTCCATGCACTTTCTGGCCTTGTCCCCTAATCCAACCATCCTGAACTGTGGCCCAATGATGTCACAAAAACCATGACTGGCCTTGTGATCCCCTCTGACTCACTCCCTAGGTTGCTGGCCTTATATCTTCCCCCCCCACCCCACCCCCCACCAAGAGATCTGCGTCTCACTGTAGCACAGACTAGTACAACACAACTCTCGAAACTGGAATTACTCAAACTGTGGGTTCCATAGCACCCCCTCCTTCCATCTAAAAGACGTAAGCTAATTGGATGAAGTGACATTCAGTTACCCCATAAGGTTGTAGGAAACACAACTACATTGATAGCACCCAATAGACTCGTTGTAAGTTGCTGTGAAGACCGCACAAGCAAAATGTATGACTTCATCAGTCATAAAAATCTCTGGAAAAATAAACACACACACTCGTTCAAGCACTAATATACCCAAGATTTTAAAGCGAAAGAACATTTTAATCATACAAGTAAAGTGTACTATGCTCATTTGATTCCAGCACATTCAAAAGTGCAGTAGATTTCTCCAGAGAAAGAGGAGTTGAGTCTAACAAAGAAAAAAAAAAGCAACAGACAGAAAACAAGTAAGGTTCATAACAGCAACTTTAGTTGTTTCTGTTGAACTCTGAAGAGACTGTTTTCAAAGCGGGCAATTAATCCCATCGATAGCTCCCCACTAGCAATTTACTTTGCATCTGCAGAATTCTAAATCTTTTATTAACTGTAGAGCAAGAGGATTAAGGATAATAGTTATAAAATTCTGCACCGAAAAACAAACAAGCAAAATACTCAGGAATCGATTTCCCAGATGCTTTGAATCAATTTTCATTTCTAAGCCAAACAATGTTTTTTTTTTTGTTCGTTATTTGGACTGGATAACCTCAATTCTTTTTGAAAGAGAAAATAAAATAAAATGTATTGATTTCTCCCGACGCTTTTAAAGTTGATCAATATCTTCTTAGCATTTTACCTGATGGCAAAGAACTTACTGTTTGGACATTGACTGCAAGGACCACCTTTCCAGTAGCAAAGCATCCTGTTTGATCGCGGGGTCGTTTATATCACTCCCCTCCGTGGATGGACCATCGGAGTCGCTATAGCAACAGTCAGGAAGCAGCATCACTTCAACCATGATGGGAATATTATTTCTCCACAGAAGCAAAATCTCTGATCTGGTTCTTCTGGCTTCACAACACTATTGAAATATATCCAAAGAGAAATTAATTTAAAACTTCCTCCCACTCAAATCCAACATTGTACACTGTACTTCAGGCAAATGAGCATTTAAATGATCATTTAAAAAAGAAAATCCATTGTTTTATAAAAAAAATTGGAATCAGTTACAGCTACAGTGTGCAAAAAGTTTTTTTTTTTTTAAAAAACAACATCATACTGATTGATACCTGGGGCAGTTTTTCAATGCATTCGTGTTTCGTAGTTAAGGATTGTCCGAGCTGTGCTGGAGGGCAGTGAAACCCTTCGGTACGACCTTTCACCGAGCATTCTGGTGTGCGACCTTCCGTGATCAACAAGGACAGAGAAAGCAAAAACTCCTCTGCCTCATATTCAAAGTATTCCTCTATTGTATCTGCAAGAAAAAAAAGTAGTCGATTTAACTATAAAAGTTCAGTACCACATACTAAATCCTACGTATTCTCATTAGAATCATATATTGAACAGTGAAAATAGGAAATAATACGAGTGACTTCACTTAATTCGAGTCCGTTACAAACGTTAAGCAGAGGGCAAAACGGAAATAGATGTGGTGTAGATGGTCCACATCCATCCCAGCTGTTTCTGACAATTAGATTAGGCACCAAGTTCTTCCAGAAGTGGTCTTAAAAATCAAATACAAGCTTGTCTATTGAACATCTTCAGCATATTCTATTTCAGGTAGCACTCACAAGCTTAATTACCCTTTGGGAGAGACGGAGGTATTCATTTACTAATTGTAAAAGCCCTTGTTCCTGCTTTGAATGTCACACTCTGCCTACAACCCATCACACACAGGCATGGATTCATGACGAATATACAGTAGGTCCTTTGTTACCAGCTGATAGCAAGCCCAGCCAATAATTAGCAGCAGGAATTAAAATTCAGCAGCTCATGGGGACTATAACTGCAGCTGTCAGAGGGCACGATGCAGAGCGTTTTTGTTTTATTTTTGTACTGTAGTTTCTTGTATGCGGTCCAGCAGCAGTACAGCAGGCTGTGCATTATTACTGCAACCGCAATAAGGTCGCATTGTCACGCAGAGAATCATTGCAGCACACTGTTTTGCAGTCATTAAAAGTTAACCCCCCCAAAAAAAAATGTTGGCAACAGTTTTGTTTGAGGCAAGCCACTTTTGTGAGACATAACTCTTCGCGTACAGGCTTAAAAAAAATATTTGAAAACACGAAACGAGCAAATGCCAACTGGTAATCTTTCAGATATGTGTATGTATATCTGTTTGTGCCCTCAGGTGGCAGAGTAACTCCCTGTTATTAGAATGCATGGTCGATACATAAGCAAAACTTACGTCAGACAAGGCAGCTGTTTGTTTTGCACTATCAAGAGAAATAGCTTCCGTGGCATTTCAAGAAGCCACAATTCCAATTAAACGGCTGTCCCGTCACAGAGATTCTAGGATTTTACCTAACTTGTACGCTTCGTAGTTTTCATTGTAAGGGCTGCAAGGTGAATAAGATTTCCTATGGTTAAAGTTTTAATAGTAAATTCAGCACAAAGTACCAAATATATGGAGAGAAATATTATACGCTTTATTTTTAAAAAAAAGTTAATTGAACTTCACAGCAATTTCTCATTATGCCAAGGTTAATAATAATAATCCTTGCATTTGGAGTATAAACGCCGGCAGTTGGGACAAATGGCCCGTTTCTGTCCTGTATATTCTATGTAATTTGATATAGCGCCTTATCATGTCATCGAGACGTCTCAAAACGCTTCACAGAATATACTGCAAAGTGAATGGACTGTGCGTTTTGTGGGCAAAGCACCTAACATAGCTTTAAATGATCACAGCTAGTACAATGTACTTTTATTCATACAATCTTCGATAATAATTAGGATCTATGCCTAATTAAGATGAAAGTTTAATCTCCATGTCATGAAGCAGCACTCAAATTTAAAAGTGGGCTTCAAACTCCAGGTTATTTTTATATCGGTTTTGGCTAATTTTGTACACTGTAAGAAAAGCAGGGTAAACGAATGCTTCCCTCACCTAAATATACATATGGATGCCGGCTTTCATTCATTTTCTATTTATATAGCGCATTTATTTCTATAGCACATTTTTGTATTTATTTATGAGTCATACCACCCTGCCCCGGCACTCTTCCAGTCGCCCCTTCCCCGCTGTCTTTTATGAGGTTGTACGCGGGTTGAGGCAGCGCGGAAAACAACGGGAAGAGAGGCAGAGCGGGAGGTTTGAGGCAGTTCAGACATATTGGGCAATATTACACACCTACCTACTTCTTCGACTGTGCCTACCGTCACTGTCAAGCGCTCTGGGACGCTACCCTGCATGAAGGGCACCATATAAATGCAAGTTGTAGTAGTTGTTCCATTATGCGGGTGTGTAATTCCCTGGGGTATATCAATTGAAACCATCGTACAAACCACTGTACAAACCAGGAACCATTATTCCCCTTTTAAACAAGTGTTCAATTGCCAGGGTGTCAACAATGCAAAGTATTTTCTTTTTGTAGCAAGAATTGAAACGGTCACAAACTACAACTTCCCATCCCAGGAAATGACTGCTCGCTTTCATCATTATTTCCTAGTAACTCAGTTAAGTTTACACGACTCTTTAAAATTCATTTGAGCAATAACGACACCATTAGTGGTCCAGAAAAAACGGTTACAAGAACAACCCTCTTTCTGCTACTCCCAAAAGAAACCATCCAAGCACTCGGCCACAGAGAAGGAACAGGTTTATGACAATTTGCAGTCATCTTGATCCCTTGTGTAATGCAAACCAAATAACTAGTCTTACAATTGTAACCGAACAGCAGGATATAAAGAAATTATTGGCCAATTGGGTGTTTTAAACCAGACGTTCAAAGTAGTGCTAACCGTTTCCATTTTTGTATTATCATTTGCAATACATCAACAAAAAGTACTGAGGAAACTTAAAATATTAAGAAAATACCATTTTGTAATTTCCCGCAAGTTATCTTAAAAGCACACTGGAACACTGCAACCGCTCACACCGTGCAAATACTGTACAGTGGATCACCACACAATCTCAGTTGGTAGCTTTTGCCATTGAACGTGTCAGGTCCCATTCGGATAACCCAGCATTCAGTTAGATACTCACTGCCATTCTAACTCGACTTCCCTCAAGGGATTTGCTTCACTAGTTGCCAGACGAAACTGTGTTTCTATAACACGATGTTCCCAAGATGTGCAGGGAAAGAGAAAAATAATTGCAGTACTAGTCCTGACCTGACCTACAACAGGCTTTGTTACCCAATCATGACTTGACATCAATATACAGCCCATCAAACTCCCTGGTTGGTGGAGGAAAACGTATCTTCCAACATTCGCCCACAAGTATACAGTCACTTCACTTTACAGTGTATGCTGTGAAGCGCTTTGAGACGTCCAGAAGACGTGAAAAGCGCCGCGTCAAACGCAAGGATTATTATATTCACATTATTATCTTATTGTTGGCAAGCACCGCGCTCGGCTAGAAATGAAGCGAAAATAACTTAAAATAAAAGAGCAAGGAAAAGTCCCGCGGCTGAGCCGGGTTAACCGTTTGCATCCACGGCTGGCACAACAGGGCACGAGAAAGGACCGAAAGAGATAAAGTTAACCCGAGTCACTGCTGCTGTACGGATATCCTTTCTTGGGTGGTTTGAAGCCGTTGGGCGAGCACAGGGCGAGTCCTCGCTGTGATGATTAGTTGGTCGGTCTGTACAGCGAGTGACAAGCAGCCACAGGTGAGATCTCAGACTGCCTGGTGACAACGGAATCCTACCCAAGGACAAGTCACAGCCCCAACACTCGCTGCTGAAAAGGCATCCACATTTTTAAAGTTGTTAAGTCTTTCATCATGCACAGGGCTGTCATCCAACTACATTGTTGACCCATTTTAAAGAGCAATACCAAATCCTGTCCTGGGCGTTTCAAAGGATCATTTATTTATGATTTATAAAAGGAGGAAGGGGAGGGAAGGGGTTCGCTGCTGCACGACTTACAATAAGACTTGATAATAATTGTACTATATTGAGCCGTGGTGTTCAAGACGGTATTTGTGTGTTTGTGGTCACGTGATGGGCTTACAGTGGAATCTACTTCACCATTTAGGTCTGTTTAATTCTCCGATAGATGATTAGATTAGAAAGCTGTAATTTTCTACTCGACTGAACAAAATAGGGTTAGGATGACAAAACAAGAAGCCATAGAAACAGCATGGCTGCATATGGAAAGACTGAAGACAGGTGTTAAAATTCCTGCGCAGACAGCTCAGCGTTTAAAGCAGGCGTGTCAAGGTTAAGTCTAAAGTGCGAACATACTCTAAATAGTTTCCACTTTTATGTCGGTATATGGGCACAATTCTGGTGCCTTAGGAGAAAACAAACACTGCTCTGTAGTGAGGCTCTCAACAACACTGCAGAATTCCGATAAAAGGCAGATTTGATTTCACAGCTAGCCAGTTTTTAAGAATAAAAAATAAAGGGGAATTTGGGCAAAGGAAGATACCGACCTGGACAGCTGACTGCCTGAATAGAAACACTTTCATGCACTGCATGTCCCAGTAGCAATTAATTCAGCGAGTCAGGAAACCTTAACCTTCCCCAAGCCGGCTAGCCGAAATGTTCAACATTTAATTATCTTGAAACATCAGACGAGTTTGGACTTTCAAATTTGCTCAACCGACCGAAAACTACTTAACCTGTGGTCCCAAAGCAAACAACAACATGGGAGTACCTACAGTACTGATTTGGAGGAGTGAAAAAAAAACCCGAAGGTAAGCACGGTGCGTTCTTAACCGGAACGGGACGGGGAAACTCGCATGTAGGGAACGCAGATGGCCAGCCAAGTCATAAAAACTACACAAGAGAATCACTGCCGTGCTGGAAGAACTTGGACAAGAGGTAAGGGATTGCTGTCGGAGCTTGGAAATGTACACCCAAAAAATGACTTAACACGTTAGAAGTCATAGTGTCAATCAGAAGGCAAACCTACAGCACAACACGGCACGAGCTACATTCCGTTCCCACGTGGATGCCCTTGTGCTGGACTCTCCTTCCAACAACACGTAGGATAAGGTCTCGGAGAGCTTCGCAGTCAAGCCGAACCCGGGTCGGACGGCGAACAAGTGTCAGATTCCGCGAGACAAAATATTTTGCATGCCAATCCACGGTCGTGACTAAAAATACAGCATATGAGGAGGTGCTGTGGCCAACGAGAGAGGAATAGAAAGAAAAAAAAACCAGATTGGCGCAGATGAGAAAGAACGAATAAAACCACCAGCGACTGATTCTATAAAGAGTTCAGAGCGAAAATCTTTATTACCCAATAAAAGATTGGATATTAAATCTTCATAAATCTTTAATAAAAGATCTTAATAAATCTTTAATAACAAAAATCTTTAATAAAAGATTAAGGAAGCAACTGGGAGGCAAAGCAGAAATTAGTTTCTTGAATAAACAAAATGCACAGATGTACACAACTGGTGTCCAGATATCAGAGCTCTGGACGAAGGAACATCAAAAGACTCCGCAACACATTCATCCAAAGCTCAAATGACATCTAGTGGTGGACAAATGAAAACTCAGGTCCCCTCAAAAGTCAGTGCAGTAGTTATTTAGCTCTTGATTTGGGATTCAGTAAAAATGTTAGACTAATATTACATTCAGCGACTTAGATCAGAAATTCTGGGCTTCTGAAGGTTTAATAGAGAGTGTATTCCTACCTGCTTTGTCTCCCACAGCTGAGATCATTGCACACTTCCCAAGCTACAATTTCCAATATCTGTGCAATCGCAGCTGGCCGCTTTTCACCAGAAGCCGTCAACATCGGGGAAATCCCAGGTGTGAGATTTCCAGTCGCGAGTCAGCCATACCTCAGGCCTCGCCCTACACCAAAAAAAGAGTTAAAAAAAAAAGTGATGAGCCTGCCTCTGCCATATGGGTTTGCAGGAGATGGCTTGTCCACGCATCAATCCAATTTGGTTTCGTAACTGAGAAGTTTAGAACATTGGCAAGGTTATGAAATCTCCTGTCTGAATCCCCGCCAAAAAAGGTAAACTGTGCAAAACATAAAATAAATCAACTCTAGTGGATCACTGTACCATGACTCGCATTTCAACGACTGAAAAAAGTGTTTGGCAACAAAGAGGAAACGAGCTTCTTGTAGGCCAATTTAACAAGAGAGCAGATGTGGGAATTTTTTTCGAGATCAGAGAGAGAGAGAGAGTTGGAGACCGTGTATGGTGACACAAAACGAATTGAACCATCAAAGCAGGTGGTAATAAGATAATAATCCTTGCAGTTGATATAGTGCCTTATTACATCGCCGAGACATCTCAAAGTGCTTCACAGAATACACTGTAAAGTGAATTGATTATATATTTTGTGGTGGTAACGCAGCAGCCAATTGCACACAGAGGTGTCCCAAAAACAGTCGTGGAGTGAGTAACCAGATTATTATTATTTAAAGGGATTATTACCCCTGGAAAAGTGATCCACCAATCCAGGTTCCTACTTACTACTAGGGAAACAGCGGCATGTGGAGTAAGGGAACTTGTCTAAGGTTTCACCTTGTCCGGGAATCGAACCCGTGTACTCTCGCTTGCGAATCAAGTGCTCTGACCAATACAGAGAAATGAAGTTTAAAAAGGTACAAAACAGCCAGGAAATATTTGTAGAGTCATACACAGTAATCTAATCTCACTAAAAACACGGAAATATTTCGAATAAAGCTTTAACGAACTCCACAAGTATAAGTCAGTTAATTATGAGTAACAATATTGAATACAAATGGTTGAAAGAACAACAAAATAATTACTTACACTGTAATCAGTCTTGGACATTAACCAAACCAACTAGTCTGCTACCATTAAAGGGCCACACATGGCCCGGGATTTGAGAACAATGTACAGATTGCCAGAAGTATGTCTATACCATATGAAGTCTGCACATTATGTGGATTTGACTGGGCAACAACATCTGGTAATGGGCTGATATTTTTGGAATTCTTCCCCTTCCCCTGAACTATCCACTCCCAAAAGGAAAACAAACGAAAAGTAAGTTCCTGGCAGTTTCAAGCCCTTACGGAAATTTTCACCGACATTTTTTTTTGTTTAAAAAATTGCACGATACGTGGACGTGTGCGAAAAGCAAACACGCAGAGGCAACGTCACTCAACGTGATAAGGTGCGCAGTCGAGATTGTTGCACTCTTCAAATTAGGTGGGGTGGAGGAAGAGTTCTGACATAGGAACAGGAGTAGGCCATTAAGTCCCCCGAGCCTTTTCCGCCATTCTATTAGATCATGGCTGACTTGTACCTCAATTTGGTGGAGTGGGGGGGAAGGGGGGGGCGGGGAGATGAAGAGATTAATTTAACACCTAGTTGGCTTTCAGGTCACTTCATCTAAAAGAGCACAGTGCACCACTACTAAGGAATTAGGAGGAACAGGGAAGTAGTTCTCCTGAAACGCCCCAGAACCCCCAAAAAGGGCATCGTCAGTGCTGTTACTAGTGTGTTCCAGTTCTCATTGGTTTTAAGTGGTTTAGGCTTTCCATCTGCTGACTCGGGTAGACGTTTTGTACAGAATGGGGGTTACGGTCAGCACATCCCCACTTGTGATAGTACACAAGGTGGAGTGCTATACAAAACGTCCAGTCCTAGACAAACTCCAACCGTTGCTTAACATGGCAACAAGCAGCAACTGGCAAAACAGCACTGGGTACATTCACCTCTTTTTGTATTCAAAGGAATCATAAGCGATTCAGTAGAATTTGCTTCCAACTTTTGCTAAAGCAATGCATGGGGTGTTCAGATAGGTTTATATTACTTAAGATATTTCCAGTTTTTTTAAAATAATCATTCAATTTCACCCAGTGTCCTGGCCAATAATCTCCCCCCCCATCCCCCCACCCCCAACACAATTTGTCACTCACTTCGTGGCTGTTTGCGGGACACTGCTGTGCACAAAATGACTGCCGCTTTTGCCTGCAAGTACATATTCACTACACTTTACAGTAAAAAAAATCTTGTGAAAAGGCTTTGAGACGTTTCGATGGCTTGGGTAAGGAGCTAAATCACATGCAAGGATTATCGTATTCAACTGACTGAGTAGTAAACCTCTTTTTAAAATGCTAAATACTGTAGCGATGTAAGCAACGTGTACACGCAATACACAAAGGATTAACATATTGAGACAAACATCAGTAATACAACAACAACTTGTACTTATATCGCGCCTTCCACCCAGGGTAGCGTCCCAGAGCGCTTAGAACCCAGCAATGGGTTCAAGAGACATTTGGATAACTCTTTGGAGAACGAAGAGATTGTGGAATCCCCAAAAGGCGGTTTGAGGTGAGGTGATGCACTCAAAAAGGGAGTATTAGGTCTAAAGATGTTTTCATGTTCCTAAAATGTTCCATGTTCTTACCATAAGTCATTTAAGTCTCCACCCCTACAGAAGGCATACATTTTTCTTTGGTTCAGGCAGAGCCAACAATTGAGGCCCCACAATCAATGAAAGACCTCTTTAAAAGTGGTTAGCAAGTATTTCCACTGAGTGACTAGTGATCTGTATCTTTTTTTAAGCCCTTTATCATTCACAAGCTCGATAGAGGGAGCGAGGGGCATGCTTATACATGAGAACTCGCAAGAGACACAACAGGATATGAGTCGGTTGTACAAACAGATGTGCACAAATTTGAGGCAGGGATCCCTAAACAGTGAGACAGATACCTAGAAAGGCCACAGAGGTGAGAGATATAGCCCACACATAAGAGGACTCTTATACCTAAATACACACCCAGGCGAAAGGGTCTGGAACACATCCATGTCAGAGGCACACATGAATGGTGCAATGTCTGAATTGAATAAAATGGTTGTAAGAAGATGCAGTACACACACACACACACACATATATATATATATATATAGTAGGAGAGAGGAAGAGAGAGCGAGAGAGATGAGTACATACACTATACCCATTAGGGGTGTGTGTGTGTGCACACACACTCAAGCAAACCTCTGTGCATGCAAACACCAGCGAAAGGAAAGGAAAAAAAATACAAGAAACATTTGCAAAGAGAATTACACACACAAAAGAGATGATCAAGAGCGACAAGACACAAGGAGCTGCAGCAACATATGCACACACACACACATACATACACACACACACACACACACATCCAGGAAGCCCAGCAAAGCACATACACAAACACACACAGGATGTGACAGTGAGCAAACCAGAGTCAGACAAACACTTAACCACAGTAATTGAAAGGGTCACACAAGGCACACACTGAATTACTGAGGGGAGAAGAAGGAAAAGAGAGAGAGAGAGAGAGAGACACACACACACACACACAGGTACATTACTAATGACTTACCACAGAGTGTACCTGCAGAGAGATAACAAAAACAGCAGCTCCTAGATAGGAAGAAAGGCAGTAGACAACTGGGCAGGTGAGTGAGGACAAAGAATCATGAAATCAGGATTGGCTGTTGGCCCCCAATGTTGTCAACAGAAACTGTACCAAAAAAAAAACTTCTATTCCAGAAACAGAAACACTTAAAAAGTGTTGCACTGCAGCATTTTCCCCAGATTTAGTTGGGACATTGCAAAACCTGCTGTTGGCTGCATGAGGAATGCCCCCCCAACAAAATTCCAGAAACATAGGTTAGGAATTAAAAATCCTACACTGCAGTGTAAGCAATAAACGTCCCCAGTCAAATGCAGTAATGAAAAGCAGGTGCTCTGGTGAGTTCAGTTGTCTGCCCACAGACTTCTTGTGTCAGCAATGAGAAGATGTGCTAAAGTACAGGGGTCGTAGTAAAGTGCAGCACAGCATCATTGCTGTTGGATGGGGGGAAAAAAAACAGTCACAGCACAAAAGACATGGAACTGTGGAAAGGTTTTTTTTTGGTGGTGGTGGTGGTGATGGTTGGGGGGAGGAGAGAAAGGTGCCTTTCCAAGGGGGATCTGGTCTGTTATTTGCATAAGCTGTAAAAGCTCTTTCCAACCCCTCTGAAGCAGACAAATACACTCACCACAAAGGACTGATAATGCTCTGCTGAGGTCTCAAAAGGGGAGGGTGGTCCTTTTGTAGGCAACAACACTCCACTTCGCCCACTAAAATCCAAGGAAACTGACCCACAGTGAGTGAGTAACACGCAAATCAAACTCAAAATGAAAAAAACAAAGTTGATTGAACCCTCTCTCTCCCTCACTCCCCTCCCTTTCTCCTCCTCCTCCCTCTCCCTCCTCCTCCTCCTCCATCATCTCTTGTGCAACTAATCACAATGTGATTAGGTAGTAAATCTCTGGTCACCTCCCCAGTCGACTGAATGAAACCACAAAGTTACAAGAGAAGGAAAAGTTATGGGAAGAAACTTCCCAACACCCCCCCCCCCCCCCCACCCCACCAACCCACCTTTTTCTCCCTGGTTTAAAGCTCTCTCGTTACAGGGCAACAGCTAAGAGAGGGTTAGGGTTAGGGGGTAGGGTAGGGTAGGGGTGGGGGGTAGGTAACAAATGTAGGGGAAACAATCCCATAGTGAAACACACTCACTCTAATACACACTCACTTTGATACACACTCACTCATTCACTCACTCACTCACACACACACACACACACTCAGCAACTACACACCTTCTCTGATGCTGTTGCCATTACCTTCCTGGTTTGTGTGTTAAATTTTTTTTTGGGTGGTGGTGATGGTGGTGGTGGTGTTGATGCTGTTGGTGCTGCTGCTGCTGCTGTGTGTGTGTGTGTGTGTGTGAACAAAGAATGTTTTTGGAAAGTCGAAACAAAAAAAAAGAGAGAAAGAGAGGAAGAGGAGGGAGAGAGGGGGGAAAGGGGAGAGAGAGAGAGAGAGAGAGAGAAAGAGGAGAGAGAGAGAGAGAGAGAGGAGGAGGAGGAGGAAGTTGTCCTCCAGCTAAAGCTGAGCTTGACTGTCAGTATCTGAGAGCAGCAGATGTCTGCAATGGTCAAAACAACATGTTCTGCTGTGGTGCACATTAGCTCCAGCCTATCGCTCTGCCAGCCACTGCTTTTACAATGAGGCAGACTCGAAGCAAAGCATAGCAACAGTCCTGGAAGTAGATTGGTTGGGGAGGAGTGGCCAAAAAAAAAAGGAAAGAGAGAGAGAGAAGAGAGAGAGAGAAAGAGAGAGAGAAAAAAAAGATACAAGTCTTGTCAAACTGCAACTGTGTTTCCGGGTCTGTGAGGTTCTCTGCTCTGTGATTCTCAAAAGCAAATTGATTATATATATATATATGATATATATATATATATATGATATATATATATATATGTGTGTGTGTGTGTGTGTAATAGTTCACCAAGCTTATCACAGTGACCCCCCCCACCCCATCCACCCACCTCCCACTAAGGCGTTTGCGGCACAGCGCAGTCCACTTGACACCCCTCCCCGACATAAAACCTCCCATCATCTTCGTCGATGATATTAATCGCCTTCCTTCAACTCTTAATAATAACTTAACAGACAACCCCGTAAGCGTCAGGGCTTCCGGAAGGGCGCTTCACGGAACGTTTTGGGCTCTGCGGCCAATTCCGACTTGTGTAGATCCGCCCGCGAAGGGCGGCAGCCGAGTGCGGACGGCAACGGCCCACAAGCAGCCGTGGATTGAGTGACCCGAATTGTTGTTATTTCTATGCGACCGAAGGTGTGCATTGACGCAGTTATTCGGTAAAAATGTGATCCATTTCCCAAGATTTTATCAGGCATTGAGTTTTTTTTTGTGGGGGGGGGGGGGGGGGGAGCGGGGCGGAATAAAGTACGAAAACAAAGTCATTGATTCTCGTTCCTCTGCCTCCTTCCCACCTCCTGTATTACCTGTTCGAATGGGAAGTACTGTACTACACTACGTCACCTTCCAAGCTGAAGAAGATTTGAGAGTGAAAGGGTTTCAAACGAAGAACGGACGATGAACTGCATTATTACTCTGAAAGGTGAAGAAAAGCATATTTTGGGTTGACTAAAATAGTAATGATAATAGTCATCCTTGCATTTGCAGTGGTCTGAGACCCTACCCTACTGGAGGGGCGCTATATAAATGCAAGCTGTCGTTGTTCCTGTATCTGATATACAAATGATAGACACTGGGCAGCCAAATGCCTTTTCGCTCACCACGAAAACACAACAAAAGCAAATAATCCAGTTAAATTTTTATGATGTCGTCTGAAGCCCCTTGATGAGATTACTGCCTCGTAATCCCTCCAGGGTATCCATTATTTTGTTTACAATGAAAGAAACCCACTGTGGTGTCACTGCAAGTAAATGTTTGGATAACAGGGGGAAAAGGAATGCAAATGAACAGGTCAGTAAAATCACGAAGAGATAAAAGCACATGAAAATGCTTAATGGGAGTTAAATATTTTTCTCCACTGATCCAGACGGAAGAGTCTACATTTAGAAGTGCATTACTCCCACCAAAATAAATCTAAAGATCACAGATGGAAAAACTTATCAAGGCAGATGATTATAACAAAGGTTCCCAATAAAAAAATTTAAAAAAGAGAACACTGAAGCAAGAGACAAGATCTCTTTTCTGTCTTTGAAGCTAACAAAACAATCACTGCGCTAATACAGTCTTCTGAGATCACAGGGGAAGACAGCATAATCACGGTAGTGACATACAACTGGATGAATCCAGTTTAATTTAATCAGCCATTTAATTTTCAGATCAAGGATGCTGCAGTCCCCAGTTCTGGCAAAGCCACTGAAGCACCAATTCATCAGATGTACTTTCGCCATCAGCCTCGGAGCTGACGGCAAATCCAATCGAATAATGAAATACACAAAACACTGTACTGCACCACCAAACTGTTGCTTCCCTCCTAATGACGAAACATTCTAAATATTTCCGAATAAGGTGAAACCTGTGTTTCCTATCCAACGTTTTAAAAACATGAAATTGTTTCGCCCACAAAACCCAGTCAATTTACTTTACAGTATATTCGGTGAAGCGCCTTGAGACGTCTCGACGATGCAATAAGGGGCTATGTCAAATATAAAGTTTATTATTAATTGGATGTGACATTTTACATACCTTTATTACCTACATTTTAGACAAGGTATATCAACACATTTTACATTTTTACACCATCGTTTCCGAGCCTTTACGATGGCAACATACTTCCCCTGAATGTTCTCAACTAAGTTGACAGATTCTCAGAAGTCGAACTGCATCATTTCCCTTTAACAGGGATCTCTGATGCAACCACGCCTAGGTTTTATTTATATTTAAAAAAACTTCATACACGACCCCAAAAAAAAAAATCGACTTCGAAACTACCAGCATTAGCCGAGTACAAATATTTTTACTGTTAATATCCCGGGATGAAATGGTGCAGAATAGGGCTCTTTCATACTTGAATGCTTACATAAGACTCGATTTTCCCAGTTCTCGTAACCGTCCGTACATAGTATTTATAGGGCCTAATAGTATTTTAAAAACATTTATTTTTAGCCCCCTCCCTTGCCACCTTCAAGGTCCATCTCAAGACCCTCCTCTTCAATCGTGCTTTCGATCTCTCTGCTTCCCCCCCCCCCCCTCCCCCTCCCGACCCCGACCCCCAGCTCGGGTCTGTAATTCTGCCTCTCCAAAGGGAAAGGCACTTTACAAATGTAATTTTGTTGTCGTTAAAAAAGTCAGACAAGGCGAATGTAAAATGATAGGGTTTGGCCAGATATATTCATTCTACGAAAGGGTTTCAGAGGTTTCTGGAATCAGTTACGCCCTGGGATGTCTTTCCGATTTGAAGGGCGCTTACAAGGTGTAGTTTCTTTACAATTTGAAGGGGAACAAGATTATTTTCAGGTCCATCAAGTGAAAGGCACCTAATGCAAGAAGAGTATGAAGAGTTTCAGTCTCCACACTCTTCTGAGCTAAGAAGTGGGACAGACTGACACATCTCATGGTTCTTTGTTTTATCAAGTCTTCAAACTAAACTTGGAATTATTTATTATTTAAGTCAGTTTTTGCCTTTTCGTTGACTCATCGTTGTCCAATTAAACCAACAAAATAAAGTACAATGCTAATACATGTAAACTTTTATTACTTTGGCACTGTCCTTCAAGTACATTGACATAAATTTGTGTTTAACTCTGATGAAACAGAATCGTAAACCCGCATAACGATTCCCATCATTATGATAAATGTCTCTTCAGGCTTGCAACCTTTTCAACACATTCTATATTCATTCTTACACGAGACTTGCAGAGATTACCCTAAGTTTTATTTGTTTGTGTGCTCGTCTGATGCGAAAACACACTCTGCAATTCAAACTTATGTTGGGCTTCATCTTAATGTGACATGTTATTGCAAACAACACTTATATTTGTCAAATTCTATTCACGTTAATGATCGAGCATTATTTAATTTGACTCATCTGCTATTAGCTCTGCACCTTGCTGGTGCCACCACATCATTTCTACACGGTATCAATATCAAACGTCTGCAAGTCTCGTCAGCGTGAACAGTCCTGATATTTTGGCAACAGTGCAATGGCTCAGGCTGTTATCAGTACCAACATGTCCAGTGTGGGAGGGGTGAACATAGCTGCAGACTTCAATTCTGCCTTCATCTTCCCAATAATGCCTTGCAAACCAGAAAAATATCTTTAAAAATACAATCTTCACACAGATTGTTTCATCCACGCCACACCATGTAAACAGCTTGAGAACCACATTAACAGTAAACAAAAGATTGTTGGTCTGTTTTCATTCTACGTGCAGCGAAGCAGATGGTTAAGATTACAAGCAGGAAATCTTAACTTGCAAGCCGATATAATTCCTGAGACCAACTACTCGCCAGTTTGGACTAAAATGAAACATAAAAATACAGTTCAAAATTAATACAATTAATGAGATTGGACTTGATTATTACAAGACATCCAGTTAGAATGGATAATCTCTCAAGCACCTGTTGAACCTTGAGTGCAGTTTAAGAAGTAATGATTCTCCCCCTGCCGGCGAAGGTAATCCGATTTTTTGTTCCGTTAGGGTATCCCAGTTGATGCAGCAGGTTTTTAATCCGTAATATCCACAACAAAATTAGGCACTTGATACTTCGGACAATACAAAATGTTCTCGCAGCCAATTGTGGTGTGCAAGTCGTAACAACAACTTGCATTTATATAGCGTCCTTTACGCTGGGTAGGGTCTCAAAGCTCTTTTATACACTAATATAATATAGCATATATTTTATATCATTGCTAATAATAATCCTTATGTTTAGTATAGTATCGTTCACTTCAGGAGGACATCTCAAAGTGCTTCACAGGATACACTGTAAAGTGGAGTGACTGCGTGTTTTATGGGACAATGCCCACGATACAAATTCTCCGCGCATTTCTTCTAGAGATGAACCTTTTTACCCTCCTTGCTCTGAGCTCTCCATCACAGATTAGGAGTGGGAGAAACGGGACGGGATGAGAAATCTACGTGGCTGGTGATGTGAACGTTTACTGCGATCCTTATTTTCTAGCCCCGACTCTGGTTTGAAATCGCACCACCCTTTCCTTTACAAACTTGTGAGACTTGTAAACAAAACCACTCAAAGAGAAGCACACTTATCATCGTGACCTTCACAGCTGCCTAAACAGTAGGAAATTACGTCACGGAGGCAGACAGATACACTAGGTTGTTGCTAGGTGGTGAAAGCCATATCCTATTACATTTGGTTAATACACGTCTTAGGTCAGCTGGATTGATTAACAACATGGGGAGGTTCAAGCAAGTTTTAATAAGCAGAAACTTAAAGCAGCGGACCCTCCCTTGTTCCAAATTACATCCTGATTTTCATCATTTTTTTCTCAAAACAATT